GCCGTGAACCCCCGCCCACGGCGCTCATGGGCCCCGCCCCTAGGGCAGAGTGGCAGGATGCCCGCCCACTCTGCCGGGAGGCCCCGCCCCTGAGTGAGTTGTGGAGCCGCCGGTTTTGGGCCTATTTGCATAGCCCCGTCCACTCCATCGCGGCCGGAGGGTCTTAGGGAAAAGGTTCTACCCTCTTCTGGACGTAGACCTCACCCGCCCCAAGCTCCGGATGGCCCCTGACTTTGAGTTGTAGAGGCTCAGACTCCAACCTTGAGCTTAAGCAGCAAAGGGACTGCCTTTATATTTGAATAACCCGCCTACCCTTAGGCTCCGCTCGCTGCTACGTTTGCCTTTGCCTTTGCCTTGGGATCCAGGCTTAGGTAGACCCAGCTCCCCAAACCCCTGAGTTCTGGTCCTCCAACACTGTACCCATCAGCCGCGTAATCGCCTGCGTCATCCCCGCCCATGCTCTGCCTGTAGGTTCCTGTGCCTGCAAGATGCTGGAGCGAGGCACCAAGTCTGTTCCTACTGGCAAGGAGCAAGGGACCAAAGGAGAAGGTGAGAGCGTCCCGCTGGTGAGCGGGAGCAGCCGCCAGGAACATGGGCTGAGAGAATCACAGTTTGGGGGAATTTCAGGATGAAAGTTTGAGGGCCCAGGGTGAGGAATACTTGGGATCTCCAAATGCAGTTCTGGAGAATCCTCTCGTTTGGCTTTGGGGAACTTTACGTGATTTTTGGGGGGGGCTTAGGAAATTACAGGAGTGACAGCGAGGATAACATGCAGGATTCAGGGTGATCCTGGGAAGGTATTAGAAACCAACACCTTAGTAGTTTGGGGGATCCTGGAAGTAACCCTCTGGATCCCCCTCGAATACTCCATGGGGGCATGACCATGCTATTTGGGGAATCTCAGTGTGACATCTGAGGTGTCCAAATACACTTCGAGGAGCCTCTCAGCTATCGAGATGGTGGCAGAGCCTGGCCTAGGCTCCTTCCTGGAGCCCACTGGCCCTCCTGTCCCCCCAGCTCCACACCAGGGCCCCCACAGAAACCCAGCCTGTCGGCTCCAGGGCCCTCCGTGTCCAGGGCCACACCTTCCCTGGCCTGCAGTGGCCCCCACCCCAGCGCCAGCACCGCTGCCTGGATTGTGACAAGGCCTTCTCCTATCCATCCAAGCTGGCAGCCCACCGCCTCACACACAGTGGCGCTCGCTGGCATGCATGCCCGCACTGCCCCAAGGCCTTCAGCCACCGCTCCAAGCTGGCAGCCCAACTTTGGACCCACACACCTGCCTGCCCCTACCCGTGCCCCCACTGCCCCAAGTCCTTCTGCTACCCTTCCCAGCTGGCAGCCCACTGCCACATGCATCATGCCACTGAGGCCTACCCTTATCCTTGCCAGCACTGCCCCAAGGCCTTCTCATTTCCTTCCAAGCTATGTCACCTATGTCACGATCTCGCCACTGCACCGGGCAGCCAGGCCACGGCCCAGCATCCATGCTCCAGCTGCAGCCAGGCCTTTGGCCAAAGACGCCTCCTGCTCCTTCATCAACACAGCCACTACCCAGCAGAGGGCCCCAGGGAGAGAGACTTCCCCATGGCTCACTGCCCCCCTCTGCTGCCAGCCCTGGTCAATAAAAGGTGGGATTCTTGGCCAGGCTGTTTGGACTTGCCTCTTCCGGATAGAAAGCTGGCAGGAAGAGAAACTGCCACTTACACTGGACTGAATTTAGAGGCTGAGGAACTCGGCCCACTGACTGGGGCGGGGAGGTAGTTAGCCCTGGATCCCAAAGATCTGGAACTGTGGTTTGATGGTGCTGGCCCCGAGTCTCCCCATCCGTTTACATGGCTACGGTGACAAGACTGCTTGCATCCCGGACTGGTGCGAGCTGCGGGCAGATTCATTGCTGAAGGGTTGTGTCTCCACTTCGGCCATATGACTGTATCTAAAAGAGTTTACCCGTGTTCGTTCTAACTGTTCCCCTTACAGGAATTTACCCTATAAACTCCGCATGTGAGGACGGCAGTAAAGGTAAGGACACTCACTGTGGTGAGATGGTCGTGGCCAACCACTGGAAATGACCAAGGGCCCGTCGGCGGGGGACAGCTCATGAATCACCACACAGCCAGGCCACGTAGCTGTGGGGAGAACAGCCTATGTCCGGAGGTGGAAGAGCCCTGGGATATACCAGGTGATAAAAGCAGAGCAAAGGGTAAACCACTGAGGTACAAACATGTTTAAAAGCCCAAGCTGTGGAGCCAGGCCTGATCATCATTTACTTCTCACGAGTTTCAGGCCTTGGACAAACTGTCACTGCTCTGGACTCAGATACCTTAGGTGTAAAGTGGGGGTAAGCACCACCTTGGGCAAAGTCAAACCTGCTTCTCACATTGTAAGATAAGGGTGATGGGCCGGTCCGTGGCATGACGGTTAAGGAGGCTGGATCCCACATGGTCAGCCACATAGTTTGAGGTTTGAGAAACATGCCAGGCACATATGTGTACATGCCCCAAATCCTGAAACAAGGGGCAGAGAAATGGAGGAGAAAGGACTGCCGTGTGACCATTCCCTAGGAGGTCACTGTCCCTCTTCCTCTTTCTCAGGCAAGCACACATGCCCTGCAATTTTTTTTTTTTTTTAACAGAGGTTTTTGCTATAGGGCGTGTGCGCTCGCCAGACAGACAGAGAGAAACAGAAAGACAGAAAGCGAGAAATCACTCCCCAGGAGGGATGGCCACGCCGCAATCCCTTCTCCTCCATTCTCCTCTCTGGATCTTGGGCACGCGCACACACACACGCCCGGCATCAGTTTAAGCCACCCCGTCCAGAACTCGAACCACAGTCGACTACGTGGGAGTCCAGCGACATAGCCATTATGCTAACTGCTGGTTCCCATATGCCCTGCAAATTCAAAAAGTAATAAGAGTGAACAAGTTAATACTGAGCTGCTTTTTGTTCAGGTATGTATGATACACCTACTGTGTGCTGGGCCCTGTATCATGGGGCATTAGGGACACAGCAGTGAAGGCAGACCTGGTTTAGTGAGGAAAGTGGACATTAATCGAGTAGTAGCCGAAAAAGAAAGACTAAGCCATGCCCATTTAGAAGAGAGGGGAGTCTGGTCCCCTACCCCCAAACACAAGTATTTATCACAAAGTTGTAGTAATGGAGTCTGTGGTGGTGGCTTGGGAACAGACCACTGGAAGAGAACTGAGGCTCAGAAACAGACCTGTGCTCATACTAACACGTGGCAAACCTTACTTATAGCTCAGAAATGACAAACTTCTTTAAAGGGCCACACAAGTGTGTGTGCGTGTGTGTGTATGTGTATATATATATATATGAGAGAGAGAGAGGTTTTGCAGGCCATATGGTGTCTGCCACAATTACCTTGCCCTTGCTCCTGTAGCAGAAAAGCTGCTATACACATTAAAAGCTGCTAGACAGAAATGAGTGAGTTTGGCTGAGTTCCAATAAAACTTTATTTACCAGGACCAGTAGTTGGCATGATGGCTATGTCGCTGGACTCCTGTGTAGTCGACCGTGGTTCGACCCCGTGGCTTAAACTCATGCCAGGTACATGTGTGTGCGTGCGCCCAAGATTCCAAGAGGAGAATGGAGGCGAAGGGATTGCGGCATGGCCATCCCCCCTGGGGGGTGATTTCTCGCTTTTTGTCTCTCTGTCTCTCTCTGTCTGGCGAGCACACACGCCCTATAGCAAAAAACTCTCAAAAAAAAAAAAAAAAAACACCAAAAACCTTTATTTACAGAAAGATCAGGTAGGCTGGATTTCACCTATGGGTTGTTGGCCAATCTTTGCTGTGGATGTGTAAGGACAGACTAATCAAAACAGTCTGAGAGATAGGGGGGGAAATTGTTTTTTTTTTTGAGGTTTTTGCTATAGGGCGCGTGTGCTTGCCAGACAGACAGAGAGAGACAGAGAGACAGAAAGCGAGAAATCACTCCCCAGGGGGGATGGCCATGCTGCAATCCCTTCTCCTTCATTCTCCTCTCGGGATCTTGGGCACGCATGCACACGCACCCGGCGTGAGTTTAAGCCACCGTGTCCGGGACTCGAACCATGGTCAGCTACATGGGAGTCCAGCAACATAGCCATTATGCTAACTGCTGGTCCCTATGGGGGAAAATTTTAAATGGGACCTATAGCAGATAGAATGGCTCCCACAGATGTTTGTGTTCTGATTCCCAAAACCTGTTTGTTAGCATACACATAGCAAAAGGAACTTTGCAGATGTGGTCAAGGATCCTGTTCTGAGATTGAGAGATTGTCTCATTGATCCGGGTAGGCCCAATATAATCACGAGGGTCCTTCCATTGGAAGGAGGAAAGCGGAAGAGTAAAGGGAGATATAATGATGGAAGTAGAGATTAGAGTGATCAAACACCCCAAGTCGAGGGTTTTTCCTAGAAACTAGGAAAGAAAAAACCTCCAGAAGGAACACAGCCCTGCTGACACCTCCAAAACCACAAGAGTTAGTATGTGTTGTTTAAAGCCACTAAGCTTGTGCTAATTTGTTAGAGCAGCAATTGGAAACTAATAGATTCCTACCTCACACCATACATAAAATAAGTTTCCGGCAATTTAAGATTTATTTATTTATTTTTAGAGTGCTTTCTGCTATAGGGCATATGTGCTTGCCAGTGAGACAGAGACAGAGAGACAGAAAATAAGAATTCTCCCCCAAGAAGGATGGCCATGCCACAATCCCTTCTCCATTGTCCTCTCAGAATGCATGCACGTATGCTTGCCTGGTTTGAGTTTTAGGCCACTAGGTCCGGGACTCGAACCACAATGGACTACGTGGGAGTCCAGTAACGTAACCATTACACCATCTGCTGGTCCCTGGTGATTTAAGATTTAAATTTGAAGAGCGAAACATTTAGATGGAAATAAAGGAAAATTATTTCAGTAACTCCAGAAGTAGAGAAAGTATCTTTAAGAGATTAAAAAATGTAACTCATAGATGAAGGTAGGTAACTCTGACCATAAATGAACCTTGTTACAACTATGACAGAGAAGATGCTCTATCATAAGAATGTACACTTGGCACATCCTATTACGTAGAAGACGTCAGGGAAGGCCTTGAGGAGGTCACTTTTGAACTGAGTCTGAAAGTTATGGAGGATGGAATGAGACGGTTTGTGGGAGTATTAAGCACAGAGCTAGAACCCAGAGGTAAGTGGAAGTTAGCAGGTGGCTATACTACAGTCTACTCATAGGTCTTGGGAGGAGGGTGGAGGTGAGAACTCTGCTTCCTCCTCCAGACCCAGTAGTGGATACGTGCCTGTATCCACGTTTCTATAGAGAGAGCGCCTCCATTAAAGTTTCAAGGACACAAATGCATTTGTGAAATGTTGATCTGATCCAACTTTTCTTTGTACAAATGAGAATGAGACCAGGAGAGATGAATTTACTCACAACCAAATGAGGCAGTGGCTGAATCCAGGTAGATCCTGCGTCTCTTGAGAGCCTAATGCCCTGTTACTCTTTCTTTCCCCCTCCAAATGTTTTCCCTTTTATTCACCAAGGAACACATGCACATGAGAGTGAGCGAGAGCGGAGCATGTCCCACGAGGGTCTGGTCATGCCAATCCCCCTCCTGCAGGCTACCAGGGCACTCGTGTATATGCCTGATATATTTCAGGCTAAGTGCGGCCGAGGATTTGAACCAGAGTTGCCATATGTGCGTTACCACTGCGCCATAGTTGGTCCTCAGTTCTCGTTTTATTATTCCTTTCACGAGAGAGCGCAGGTGCATGTGAAAGAGACCAGCACTAAGGCTGGGCTGTGCTGCTGCACCTTGAACACCCGAGACTCATTTGCTGCCGAGCCTTTCAGGCTTTTCCTCAGCCTGTAAATGCTCTCCCGGACACTCTCCTACTCCTTCCAGGTCCTTGCAAGGGATAAGTCCTCTGAGAGGCCTTTCTCCGTCTCTCCATGAAACCACCCAACCCTGCCCCATCTCTGTCACATTGTCCTGCTTTATCTGCTCTCTCAGCGTTCACCGCCCAGTGCCACATTACACGCTCACCATCTCTCCTCCAGCACGAAGTCAGCCCCGTGAAATCCAACTAGTGTCTGTTTTTCACACTGCATCCCTAGTGTCTTGTACATGGTGGGTGTGGTAGAGAGAATCATGGCCTCCCCGAGATGTTCACGTGCTGAACAAGAAAGTTAGGGATCTGGGCCAGTGACCTTTGTTTTCTGGAGCTGGCCGTCAGCATGTCCTTCCCTAAGGCACCCCTGAAACGATTCAATGACCCTTCTGGTTGTGCACCATCTCCAGGGTGCACGTGCTTAGGGAAAGATGGAAAACAAGAAATTGCCCCCTAGAGAAGATGGCCACATCACAGTCCCTTCTCCTCCAGTCTCCTCTCGGGATTTGGGGCTCGCATGCATACATGCCCGGCCTGATTTTCTAGCCACCAGGTCCAGGATTGAAACTGCACAGGTGGCCATGTGGAATCCAGCACCTTAACCTCTAAATCACCTACTGGCCCTCACTCTGAACTTTCTAACTGACTGTCCAGCTTGCATTGCATCTGATCAACATTTTTCAAAAAAAGTCACTGTCATAATATTATTCGCCCTTTTGGAACAGTGGTATTAAGAGTCTGTGCCCCAGATGTTTCTGCTTAATCCATGAAGCGTTTCCTCATCTGAATGTCTTTAGCTAGGCTGTAACGCCTTGGCTTATGCCTCTACTCTGATTCTAGTACTAATGTCCGTTCTCCCTACCTTTCATCCATTCACTTGTGCAGTTCAAGTAAGAAACAAGGACAAACTTCACTTCATAGTAATCTATCTTTTATCAGTCACTGAGTTGTTTAATAATGTACTGATTCCTAGGCTCCATCTAAGTTTTTCTAAATTGCAGTTTGTGAGGGACCAGTAGTTGGCGTAATGGCTGTGTCGCTGGACTCCCATGTAGTCGACCACAGTTTGAGTCCCGGACCCAGTGGCTTAAATTCACGCCGGGCGCGTGTGTGTGCGTGCCCAGGATCATGAGAGGGGAATGGAAGAGAAGGGGTTGTGGCGCTTTCTGTCTCTCTGTCCCTCTCTGTCTTTCTGGCGAGCACACACGCCCTATAACAAAAACAAAACCTCCTCCCAAAAAAAAGAAAAAAAAATACAGTTTGTGATTTGGCCTATAAACTTGAAATTTTTAAACAAACTATTTAGTTGATTCTTGGATACAATAAAAAATCTAAGAAGCTCTACATATCACCTTTTTAGAGAATTTATCATATACCGCTCATCATCTCCCTATCGTGCATTTGACTGATATTTATGTAATACAAAATAAAATTACACAGTAAGCCATAAAAAAAAAAAAAAAGAAAGAAAGTTAGGGATCTGTTCTGTGGCAAAGGAGAATGAAACTAGGAATTAAGATTGTTAGTCCGACTTAAAACAGGGAGACTATCCCAGATGATCCAGGTGGGCTCAGTGTAATCCTGCAGGTCTTCAAATCTGGAAAAGGCAGCAGGGTCAGCGTCACAGTCAGCAGGGAAGGGGACTGGACTGTGCGTGGCCTCCAGAAGTTAGAAAGGACTAGTAAGTAGATTCCCCCCATGAGCCTCTGAAAGGAATGCAGCCCTGCCTGCAGCTTGATTTTTAGCCCTGTCATATCCATGTCGGATTTCAGACCTCCAGACTTTATGGTGTGGTCATTTGTCAGAGCAGCCCTGGAGCCTAATACGGTGAGTGATGAATGGGAGTGAACAGGAATGAGTGAAGAGTCCAATGCAGCTCTCATCTCCTCTTTGGACAGAAGTCCAGAAAGGGAAAGGCAGGTGACTGGAGCCCTTGGTCGACAGGGCAACTGTCAGGCATGGGCTTGGAACATCCCAGAAGCGGTTACCTGAAGGTCAGATCTCAAACCTGCCGCTGACCTGGCCTTTGCCCTGCTCCAGCCTCTTCCTGACCTCCCATGACGTAGTCCAGGATGAAGTCCAAGCTGGTTGGTCTGGCGTCAACAGCCCTCAGGACAGCCCCGGCCAACACACGTCCCACAGTGATGGTGGGAAGCTTCTCCACCTGTGCCGTCCAGCGCAGTAGCCAGAAGGACTTACGTGTAGCCAGCGTGGCTGTGGAAATGAACTTTTCATTCCATCTGATCCGTTTAAATTTAAATAGCCACCCATGTCTAGCAGCTCCTGCACTGGACAGCAGAGCGGCGAAGACTGCGCCACCTTTCCAGCTAACTCCATCCCAAAGCCTCCCCGCCAGAGGTAGCAATGCGCTTCTGACCACCTCCGGCTCGTTTCCACGTCCTGGCCGTGGCCTGCCTCCTGCCACCCAGCCTCGGCCCGGATTGCCCAGCACTCAGCTCAGTCCCCACCTTAAATGCGCTGGAGCACTGAAGGAGGCCCAGAATTTGGGCGGATTGATTAAAATGCCCTCCCCCCCATTCTCCTCCCTAAATTAGGTGATGTAAAACCCACGGCCATTTCTGAACTCCAGGAAGAAAACCCCGTGGCACCCTGGCCTGGCAGGGCTGAGATCAAGGGAGTGGCACACCTTGTGAGCATCCAAGTCCCTACTCCCCCACAACCCACAAGGGGAGACTGAGGCGTAGGAATGGCTTAGAATACTAGAACAAGTGGAGGGGGCAGTGCTGGGCGTCAGATCCCCAATATCCTGCCCCGGGCCAGGACAGGGCAGAGGCCAGGGAGAAGAGAAAAAGCGTTCCTTCCCTACCGGATCTCTGATGGCGGGGCCGGCATCCTTCCCTGACCCCTCAGGGCAGCTCAGAGACCCGGCCTCACAGTGGGGAGAGGAACCAAACATAAGACAGAACCGGTGGCCCGGGAGACCCCCGAGAGAGAGAGCAGCTGCTCCAAACAGAGTCGTCTTTATTAAACATCCTTCCCTGACCCCTCAGGGCAGCTCAGAGACCCGGCCTCACAGTGGGGAGAGGAACCAAACATAAGACAGAACCGGTGGCCCGGGAGACCCCCGAGAGAGAGAGCAGCTGCTCCAAACAGAGTCGTCTTTATTAAACGTGTGTGTGTGTGTGTGTGTGTGTGTGTGTGTGTGTGTACACGGACATAAGCACATACTTCAGGCCTGGGGCACCACCCCGTAGAGCTGGTGGGGAAGGAGTTTCTGCTTCTCATTGCAACTGTAGATCCACCGGGGACGGACGAACGCCAGGGAGGGGTTGTCCATCAGGGCCTGCAGGGTGGGCAGGATCCGCGTGGGAATGTGCCACCGAGGAAGGGATGCAGGGGATGCAAAAGCTGTGCAGGGTCCCTCTCCCTGCCCCTCTGGACTCACCTCCTCAAAGCTGGGGTCCCACTCCTGTGCTGTGATCACAAACTGAACCCGGTCACTCATATAGTCCTCGAGCTCCCTGGCAGGAGAGAAGAAAAGAGGCAAAGGGCACGTCAGAGAATCAGTGTCCCCTCTCTTGCCATCTTAGTCCTCAACCATCCTCAAAGGCTGTCCTCTCTCCGTCCCCACCCAAGTCCCCACTAGGCTGCCTGGGGCCTATATTCCCCCCTCGATGGGCCAGGCCTGCCACCGTCACAATGACACCAGCTCCCACAGTGGCTAATCCTCACAGTGTTCCTTCCAGAAGGGGCATAGGACAGAGAAGAGGACAGGAGCTTCTGAGGGGAAGTAACGGATCTGAGGCTGTCCAGCTCAGTGGGCAGAGCTGGCATCTGGGCCCCATGGCCTATGCCCACCCAGCCAAGTACATCCCTTCTTCATCCTCCTGATCTCCTGCCCTCCCACAACCCCCTCTCCCTCCATGTCCCTGAGCCCTCCCCTGGATCGATCACTCCTCCACCCCCACCCCCAGAGACTGACCCATTGAAGGCTGTGACGTATCGTATGAGCTTCCGCCGCTCGTCCCCAGGGAACTCCCCGTACAGGAAGAAGTGTTTGCCCTGAAAGAAGTCTGCGGAAAACAATGGAGTTGCAAGGCACCCACGAGGAGCCACAGAGCTCGTGGAGCCAAGAGAGGCGGTTGGCAGGGGTGGGGATGGCCTGAAGTGGTTCTCAGCCCAGAGGCCAACAGAGAGCGGGGAGGTTTGTCTCTTTGTTTGCTCTAACGGTAAGACGCAATTGCCATCATTGCAACACATTTCTCCTGGACAGGCTGGGCCTCTGAGTTAGCTTGGCCGGCAGGTGACGTCAGAGCTGGCCACCTCCCCCTGGGCCGGCTCACTCCTTTCTACCAGTGTCTTTTCTTGCTCTGACCTTCAGGATGGCTCTTTCTTCTTCCTGTTTCTTTTTAAAATTTATTTATTTTGGGACCAGCAGTTGGTGTAATGGCTATGTCGCTGGACTCCCATGTAGTTGACCGCGGTTTGAGTCCCAGACCCGGTGGCTTAAACTCACGCCAGGCATGTGTGCGTGCGTGACGTGTGCGTGCGTGCCCAAGATCCCGAGAGGAGAATAGAGGAGAAGGGATTACAGCGTGGCCATCGAGTGTGTTCCCAAGATCCCGAGAGGAGAATGGAGGAGAAAGGATTGTGGCGTGACCATCCCCCCTGGGGGGTGATTTCTCGCTTTCTGTCTTTCTGTCTCTGTCTGTCTGGCGAGCGCACGTGCCCTATAGCAAAAACCTCTCAAAAAAAAAAAAAATTATTTATTTTATTCCTTCCATGAGGGACAGGCACTCCCAACTGGGTCTTCATGCCATGATGTACCATAGCCCCAGACAGCCTGCATGCATGCCTTGTGTGTACAGGGCGGCCTCCGGGCACAGACCTGGGATCTTACCAGGTGGGCCCAGCATCACAGAGCTATGCCACCACTGACACCGCCAAGCCTCTTCCTTTTTCTTTTCTTTCTTTCTCCCTTTTTTTTTTCACCAGAGGAAACATGCACTCACCAGAGAGAGACACGAAAGAAAGGAAAATGAGAAAGCACTTCCCATGGGGATGGTCGTGTCACGATCCCTTCTCCATCTCTCCCTTCTTTCAGGATTTGGAGAGCATGTGCGTGCACGCGCGTGCGCACACACACACACACACACACACCCTCAGCACATTTCTCAAGCTGCGGGTCTGGGACTTGAACTGCGCAGTCAGCCATGTGGGATCTAGCCACCTTACCCACCATGCCACCAGTTGGAACCTCTTCTTCCCCTTTAATGTGACTTTCCAAACCACCAATTTGCTGGTGCCACTTCTAGGACTTTGAAGGATCAAAGTACTTCCCTGCCCACCCCCACGGGGTACCAGGTGACAATGGCACCTCTGCTCAGGCCCTGCCAGCCGTTCTTCCCCCTCCATGCCTGACCCACAGGCTCTGACTGCCACGCCCTCCACCCCGAGGCTCCCCGTATTTCCCCATCTCCTTCCTTCCTGAGTCCGTTACACTGGAAGTGCGAATACGCACAGACCGTGTGCACCCGGCGCTCGTGTGAGCAGGAGGAGCCATGTGCCCACCAGCTGGGTCCAACAGGATGGTGCCCAGGTCACTGGTATGCCTGGCTTCACTCTAACCCCCCACCAGAACTGAACCCAGGAGAGGGGTCGGGCATGTGCAGACTTTAAAAGAGGTGACTGGTGCCTGGAGGGTGCAGCACCAGCATGAGGACAGGGCCACTCACACCTGCAGTGAGCTCGGAGGTGCCCAAAGCAGGGAGTGGGAGAGAAGGAGAGGGGAGACAAGCCAAGGGGCGGCACAACCCCAGAACTGGCTGGGGCAAGTCACAGCCGAGACGTGCGAAGGGCAAAATCCCTCTCTGGGGGGATGGAGGATTTCTAACCTGGGAGCTCAGGAACCGGCAGGTCGGGGGACTCTGGGGGACCCTCATTGTCTGTGTTCTCGTCCGTGGAGCCTGCGTACGGGTCCTCGCCATTCTCCCCCTGGCCAGGGGGCTGCCGTTGTTCCTTCTGCTCAGCCACCCTGGGGGAGCAGGGAGGGTAGAGGGTGGACGTGCAGAGCAGATCCCCCACAGCCAGGGCCCACTGCCCTCCCCCCAGCCCTGCCCTACCTCCTCAGTTCATCCTCGGTGTCCCCGGAGTCTTCCGCTCCGTTGTCCTGTCCCTCTGTGAGGAGGAGCTCGATCAATGCCAGGCGCCGGCCTTGTTGTCTGAGATGTCCGCTACGGCATCCAGGTGGGCCCAGGCCGGCTGCCCTCCTCCCTCAGACCCAGAGGTCGGGCGCTGCCACCCCTCACCCCCACCCTCCTTGCCTGGCCTCTGACCTAACAGCTCCCTCTCAGTGTCAGTGTCTTCCTGGGACTCTGGTGAGGCTGCTCTGGTCTCTCCGGGGGTTGGGGGCTTCTGGGGTGAGCTGGGTCCAGCTGCCTGAGGAGGCTTGGTTTTGGTCTGGGGGCGCTGAGGAAGGAGGGCGGGTCAGCAAGAAAGCAGGAGTGGTGAGGGTATGAGTGGGGAGCTGCCAGCAGGAGGCAGGATGGAGAATTTGGGGCACCACAGAGACCAGTGTCCTCCCTCTCTACCCTCCCCAACCTGGGCAGGGGCATCGGACCTTCCGGGAAAGCTTGGGGGCCTCATCCTCGCTGCTGCCGCTGTGAGAGTGTCCTTCGTCCTCGCTGCTCGAGCCTGGCCCTGCCATGAGGTACCTGGAGGAAGAATTGAGGCTCAGACAAACAGGATCCAGAGTCCTCCCAGGAGTGGGAGGGGGTCAGGAGGCATCAGCCTCTGGCATTTCCGGCATTCAGGTCACTCTTGGCTCAGGAGGCGCCTGCTGGCCCCCGGCTGCCCAGGAGAGGCCTGCTGGTTCCCGGCTGTCCAGGAAAGGCCAACTGGCCCCCGGCTGTCCAGGTGAGGCCTGCTGGTCCCCAGCTGCCCAGGAGAGGCCTGCTGGCCCCCAGCTGTCCAGGTGAGGCCTGCTGGTCCCCAGCTGCCCAGGTGAGGCCTGCTGGCCCCCGGCTGTCCAGTGTGTGTGCACCACACGTGTGTGCAACGAGGCTCACCTCCGGGAGGGCAGCCGCCGCCGCATGCGGTGACAGTCCAGCACCCACTCTTTACGCACAATGCGGCCTCCGAGTCCCAGGACTTGGCTGTACTTGGGGGTGTTGGCGAAGGCACAGCTGGTGGGGCAGAATGGAGGGTGTCAGTCAGGAGTGATCTGAGGAACAAAGGGGATAGGAGAGAGCAGGGAAGACAGAGAGAGATGAGTGAGAGAGACAGTAAAACGTGGGAGGAACAGAAAGAGGTGGGAGACAGGGAGGTAAGACTTAGAAGAGGCAGAAGATATAGAGATCCGAGGAGACAGAGATATAGCGAGAGATGGAGACACAGAGACTACAACATGGCAGACCCAGAGAGGAGGCAAGACGGAGGAGACGGGGACACAGCGGGAGCCATGGGGAGGGGAGGGCACCAGCCTACATGAGGTGGGTGCTGTCCGGAGTCCAGTCTGGCCGATACTTGGCTCCCAGCTCGAGGGCCTTGTCCCGGAGCTCGGAGCGGAAGGGGTTCTGGAAGCCACTCAGCACCACCACCACACCCTGAAGGATCTTCCCCAGCTCCTGTGGCCCGGCTCGGGACCCCTTGGGCTTGGTGCCCTCTCCCCGAGGTTTCTCTGGCACTGCCTGTGTTGGGGCAGAGGCTGCGGTTGTGGCTGGGGCTCGGGTAGGAGCCGGCACTGGGGAAGGCAAAGAGCAGAGATTCAGTGAGCACCGCTGGGACGCAGCTCCAGCCCTCCCACCCCAGACCCAGAGTCCGGGCCCCCAGTCCTCCTGTCCCAGACCCCCAGGCCCTCCTCCCCTAGAACTCAGGAGTTTGGGCCCCTATGGGAAAAAGGGATCTAGTTTGCTCACATTTGGGTCTCTTGAGAGCAGGGGGTGAGGTCTGGGCTGATGGCTTGCTGGGGGTCTTCCTTTCTTCTTGGTTCAGATCTAACTTCCTCTTCCCTTTGGGAGACTCCTGAGGCTGAGGGAGTAGGGATGGGTGAGGCCTCCAGCTCCTCTCCTCCCCCACTCCACCCAGGTCTGTGGACCTCACCTTGGAGGTACTGCCCACGGCTCTGGACACTGGAGAGGCAGAGGAGGCAGCACTCGAGGCCTGGAGTGTGGCGGCCGCATAGCTGGGGCCTGCTGGGTCACTGGCTGTGGCTACAGGGCAGAAAAGGACCAGGATGAGCACGCTGGGCCCTGAGACCCTTCCCCTCCTCCCTATAAGGCACTGTGTTGTTCCCCAACCTAGAAGTGATATGAGAGCCCTGGGCCCAGCCCCTCCTCCCCCAGGCCCAGGGGTCCTGGCCCCCGGCCCCTCCTCTCCTAGACCCAGGGGTCCTGGCCCCTGATACCTTCTTCCCCCAGGCCCAGGGGTCCTGGCCCCCAGCCCCTCCTCCCCCAGGCCCAGGGGTCCTGGCCCCCAGCCCCTCCTTCCCCAGACTCAGAGTCCAGGCCTCCATCTTCTCTTCCCCCAGACCCAGCCCTTCCTCCCCCCAAACAAGACACCTAGGTCTCAACCTGTCCTCGCTCAGGACCCAGGTCCCCTGCACTCACGTGGGGCTGTCTTGTTGATTCGGCTAAAGAAGAGAGCCCCGGGCCTCAGGGAGCTGGCACTCTCATCCTCTTCTTTCACGCGAAACTGGCCGAGCTTGGTCACTGTCACCTTCTAAGGACCCGTGAGGTCAGTGTGGGGGGGTGGGCTGCTGCCAGGTATATGAGGAGGCAGGGAGAAGGCTCTGGGGGAGGCAGGTGGGGCTCACCTGGGATGGGGCCTCTGCCTCGTCTTTGTCTGGGGGGCTGTGAAACCGCACGAAGCTCAGGCCATAGGGGGTGTCCTGGGAAGGGAGGGGTGGGAGTCAGGGCAGCTGGCCAGGGACAGAGGTCTGGCCCCAGGCCCCTTCCGTGAGGGAGGAGGCCCTTCTCTGCACTCTCCCTCTGTGGATACACATGTCCAAGGAGTGCCCGATGACAGTGATGACAACAGAATATTTAGTGTCGCTGGGCCCTAACTGCGTCTGGTTCGGCTCTAAGGCCTTCACGGGCATTAGCTCACTTAGCCCTCACTGTAGCTGGCCAAGTCCGCTGGGCGGCTGAGCAAATCCACACACCCCCCCATCCTGCCTGTGAGAAAGGAGTGTCGGTGCCGGCTCTGAACACCACACTGCTCCGGGCTCTCCCCCTCCACCTACTGGATCAAAGCCAGATGGGAGGAGCCAGGATTCCGGAGGACTTGATGAAGAGAAGCCAGCTGACGGGCTAGACGCCCTAGGACAGTTACTTGGGCAGGAAGCCACTTCCAGTGTGGGGCCATCACGGCTCGGGTCTCTCCACCACACCTACACCCTTAACCTGCAGCCAATGCGGCAGAGTAGGACACAGGAGCCAGCAGGGGGCACCATGGTCTAAGGCACTGGACTCCCACGTGGCTGACCACAGTAAGGGTCCTGGATCTGACAGTTTAAAAACTCATGCCACATATGTGTTCATGTGTGGCCCAGGAGGAGAATGGAGGGGAGGGGATTGTTGCATGGCCACACTTCCCTGAGGGGTAATTTCTTCCTTTCTTTCTCACTGTCTCTCCTGAGAACACACATGCCCTATAGCAAAAAACCTTCCACACACACACACAAAAAAGTGGGGAACACACAGTGGGATAGCCAGGATCCGAACTCGGTGGTCTGATTCCAGAACTCACGACAGTACCCACTAGGCCCACGGTGTGAGACTATTTCTCCAGCAAGGCTGCTGTATCCTCCTCCAACTCCCCTCTGGGAAGCTCACAGCCCACCCTTCCTAGACTCTCTCCGGCATCAAGCGTCCCATCATGAGAGGATCCCAAACTCATTACAGGGAAGGCACAGACCCAGCTTCCCTATAGTCCCACGGGGGACTCTACACTGGCCCCTTGGTTCCCTCTTCATCTCAGCCTGCTGGGACTCTACACTGGCCCCTTGGTTCCCTCTTCACTAGGATCAAGGACTGAGTGCCCCCAACTCCCACTTGGTACCTTGCTGTAGGGCTGGCTGCAAACAATTTTGACCCGGTCCCAGCGCTTCTCGGCTGCTGCCCGCACCAGCTTGTCAGGCCCAAAAATGCGAACACGGTTGGGGTTTGAGCCACTGCGGCTCTCAGAAGGGGACATGAAAGATGAGGTGACCAGAAGGACCTGGGTGGGAAAAGGCACAGTGGATGAGCCCCAGGGCTGGCTGGGTGAGATTCCATCTTGGGGCTGAGGGAGAGGGCAGGAGCCCACGTAGGAGACAGAGACTCCCTAGAATCCAGTTCAGGCCTCGACATCTCTAGACCTGTTCTTTGTTTCCGGGCCTGCAGTCAGTCCTGCCTCAGTGCAGACCTCAGAGAACAGGCTCTCATCCTCCCCTCAGTGCAGGCCTCAGAGAACAGGCTCTCATCCTCCTCCAGAGAAGAACGAGCCTCCCATATTTGGCCACATGGCAGGACAAGCGCCTGAGGGATGCTCCCTGGGGCAGTATCCACAGTGACTGGCACTATGTTCAAACACTGAGTCAGCAGGGAGACAAGGGGGTCCAGACAGGGGCCCAGCGGTAACCAGCACAGCGATGCTGGGCCCACAGGGAAGGTCTGGTGTGCATGCCCCAGGGTGTGCCTGTACGCTCTGGGCCCGTGACCATGCGCTGTGACGTGGGCTGGCTAAGGCTGGGGTGGACTGCAGGATGAGGACCCTGTCGCGGGTGCTGTCTGTCTGTATCTCTCGCGCAAAAGAAATAAATAAACTAAAACAAACAAACAAAAAAAAGGCAAAGCAAGAAGAATTATTGGAAGCAAGAAATGAGAGCAGACTCCAAAGAGGCAGGGAGCCTCAGCAAGACTGCTGGCCCCTCAGTTGGAACCCCTCTCAGCGCTGGGCTGGGCCTTGGCATTCCACATTCTGCTTCCCCAGTGGCACTTATCAGGCTCTGCCAATCAGAGGGAAATAGAGAGAGAGAGAGAGGCTGCTGGCTGCGTGAGGGAGAGGGCTGCTCCTCCTTCACGGCCGGGTCCGGACAGCATCGCCCAGCATTGCCTGGCATCAGCCCGTTTCCGCAGCGCCGCTTCCGCAATGAACCAGGCTGGGCTTCCCTGCACCCGCAGAGCTGGCCTCATCCAGCCTGCCCGGCCACCAGCAGCAGCTGGCTGGAACCCTCATCAGGGCTGAGTTTCAGCTCCACAGGGCCTCACCTCCAAGCTTCAAAACATCAAAGATTCAGGACCAGCAGTTAGCGTAATGGCTATGTCGCTGGACTGCCATGTAGTCGACCGCGGTTCGTGTCCCGGACCCGGTGGCTTAAAACTCACGCTGGGTGCGTGTGTGTGCGTGCCCAAGATCCCGAGACGAGAATGGAGGAGAAGGGATTGCGGCGTGGCCATCTCCCCTGGGGGGTGATTCCTCGCTTTCTGTCCTCTGTCTCTCTCTGTCTGTCTGGCGAGCGCACGCACCCTATAGCAAAAACCTCTCAAAAAAAGAAAAAAAAAACATCAAAGATTCAAGAACTCCAACCTCAGGGTCAGGAGATGACACACCGGTTACGTTGCTGGACTCCCAGCCGACTTACTGGGTTCAAGTTCTGGACCCGGTGGCTTGAAACTCACATTGGGCACTTGTGTGTGTGTACCCAAGATCCCAGGAGGAGAAGGGATTGTAGCGTGGCCATCACCATGTGTGTGTGTATGTGTGTGTGTGTGTGTGTGTGTGTGTGTGATTTCTCACTTTCCCTCTCACATCTGTCTCCTGCGAGTGCACGAGCTCCAAGGCAAAAACCTCTACAAATGAAAAAGAATTCCAACCTTTTGTTCCCTCAACCGTCTTAGAGGTAGTAGCTGCTCCTTGCCATAGCACCTCCATCATACCTTAGGGTGGCCATCCCCCAGTGGAGGATACACCCCGTGGGGTGGGGAGGTGTCCCCCTCTCCCCCCGCAAGCTCCTAATTCCGTGCATTAAATTCTGCCTGTCACAGTTGGTGTGGTCCCTGACTGACACCATGGCACTGACTTTGGTGGTTTGCCCTGGTACCGATCCCAGGTGTCCCAGAACTTGGCCTTGAAGGGCCCTGTGGTAGCCGTGGAGAAGGAGGACAGGAGGAGGACAGGGCTCCAGGCAAGGAAGAAAGACATCTCCGACACTATCGCCACATTGCTTAGAGCTGACAACCCGACAAGGCGCCACCTTCGACAGGGAGAATAGGGCAAAATGTGCCTGGGAAACAGGGTCTGTCTCGGCCTCAGCTCTGGGGACAGCAGAGGAAAGACAAACCTGCTGGGAAATCCTCACCACAAGCCTGTACTCTCAAGGAATTAGAGCAAACGTTCATACTCATTATCTTCAGTGAAAACCAGGGACCAGCAGTTAGCGTAATGGCTATGTCGCTGAACTTCCATGTAGTCGACTGTGGTTCGTGTCCCGGACCCAGTGGCTTAAACTCACGCCGGGCGCGTGTGTGTGCCTGCCCAAGATCCTGAGAGGAGAATGGAGGAGAAGGATTGCAGTGTGGCCATCCCCCCGGGGGGTGATTTCTCACTTTAAATCTCTCTGTCTCTCTCTGTATTTCTGGCAAGCATACGCACCCTCTAACAAAAAACTCTCAAAAAAACAAACAAAAAAAAACCACACTGGACCTTTTAAGTGGTCCTCTGTGTGTGGTGCTGCCTGAGGTCAGGGCAAATCCTCCTGGGAGAAGTGGACTTCAAAGTAGGTCCTAAAAGATTCCCACGGAGACATTCCCAAAGGATAGAAGTTAATGATTAAAATCACACACACACACACACACACACACACACACACACACAGCTGACATGACAGGGTCAGCAGAAGCCATAAACTGTGGCGTTGGATGAGCAAGGGCTGCATTTGTTAAAATTATAAGATGTACATAAATAGGTAGGTCTACTAATTGAAAGAAATAAATGGAGCGATTCACAGTGCAATGAAAGAAAAAGTGCCAATCAAAACCAACTAGGCAATTTGAAGAAGAGTGAAATAGCTATGTACCCAACACCAAGGGACAACCCATGACTGGTCTGAGCAATCCCATTCCCCTGCCAGAGGGTGGACCCAGTTCTGGTCGGCGAGGTCCAAGAGGAAGGCTGCTGTGGGCTTCTGGGAAAGGTTTTTCTTCCTAGTGAAAGAGGAACAGACGAAGAAAGGGAGACACTGTGTTTCTAGCATTCCACTTCCTCCCTGACTCCCTGCTCTGGATATCAAGTGATGGATGGAACAGCAGCAATCATCTTGTGACCACAAGGGCAAGTCCAAAAGAGTCAAGAGGTGCCAACCAAGCTCCCTGACTTTGCTAAGCTGCCAGATCTACTCTGGGGCTATCTAATGTTAGACTTCCCTCCAAGGAGACAATAAACGCTCTCATGCTATAAACCAGCTAGTTGGGTATATTTTGATACCTCCTTTGTCTCTTTTCTAGCTGACGCACTATGAAACTTGAAAAATTAGAAAATAAAAATTTGGGGCCAGTTGGTGGCATGGGGTTAAAGTGGCTGGATCCCACATGGCTGAATGCAGGGTTCGAGTCCTGGGCCCTGCAGCTTGGAAAACATATCAGGCGCATGTACATGTGTGCCCAAAATGGAGAAGAGATTATGGTGTGGTCATCTTCCCTGAGGAGTGCTT